GATAGAATTCAAACTCCCCAATACAGACTTTTTCAGGTATTTACAGCTAAGGGAATTTGTAACAAAACACAGAGAGTGGACTAAAATCCCAGAGCCCAACCCAATCGAAAAACTCTTGATAAAATTGCTAAACTGGGAGTGAGAATAAGAAAGTTATGGTCCATTTTTACAAGTTACTTATAGATATGAATCCCAAAGAAACTCGACAGATCAAAGAAAAATGGGGAGCGAAATACACATTGACGTACAGCAAAACGGGGGGAGGAAACATGTACAGAAGCTCATTAAATCACTAACTTCAGGTGGGAGTGATAATAGGATTCTTTAGGACACCAGCAGCCATGTCCAAAATGGGAACCAGACACTCAGAAAAATGCTGGACTAGTTGTGGGTCACACATTCGTAATCTTCCTCATGTACTTTGGACATGCCCTAAATTGAACAAAATGTGGAACGAGATGTTTGAGGCACTCAGAAAAGTATTAAAAAAAACTTTTAAGAAAGATCTTGAGATTGTAAAGCTTAGATTAAGACCAAATGACATTTCTGGAAGAGGAGGAAAGTACCGTCTACTTATTATTGCTTAGATATCACAGTTAAATGGTGGAAGCCCGACCCTAAAACATACAATATGTGGATTGAAAAGCTCTGGGAAATCTATCATATTGAAGAAATAACTTAATGCCTGAGGCTTAAGAGAAAAAAAAGACATTTTTGTCTACAGATGTAAGCCAGCCATGGCCATATCAATGCGGTAAAATGTTCATTATTTTGATTTTTTTCTTTTTTTTCTTTCAATTTATTTATTTTTTAAATATAGGTTACATTTTGTCTTACTTTTATTTATTCTTTAAATTATTTGGATTTTATTGAACATATTTATCTACATTTGCATTGCTTATAAATTAACCACTAATAGCCATGTTTGTATGTTACTCCTGTTTAATCATGTAACTCTTTGATTCTTCCACAGGATACAAGATGCTCTTAAAAGAGTTGGGTCTTTAAGAGTTTCCTGAAGATAGACACAGCCTTCTGATAAAAACCCACAGCAGTAACAACCCTCAACCAAACCACGTTAGAAGACTGCGAATGCCCTAAATGAGTGGAGTGGTCATCCCGGCCAGGTCCCCCCACAGACTCCACAGGCCTCGGTTAGCAGGTTAAAGGCCAAAGACTCAATAAGTAAGCATTACGTAAACCAGCGCCCAGGAGAAGTTGAGAAGATTTCAAAATCTTCCTCCTGTGAGGAGAAGGAGATGTGGCACGGTTCTGAAACTTCCTTCTCTTTTCCCTTTTTTTTTTAACTCTGAACTCTCAGACTTTGAGATGAACAGGTTGAAGTTGAGATGAACAAAGGCCTGGACGTTTAGTTCTTGTTAGATTGCATCTATCTATCTATCTACCTATCTATCTATCTATCTATCTATCTATCTATCTATCTATCTATCTATCTATCTATCTATCTATCTATCTATCTATCTATCTATCTATCTATCTATCTATCTATCTATCTATCTATCTATCTATCTATCTATCTATCTATCTATCTATCTATCTATCTATCTATCTATCTATCTATCTATCTATCTATCTATCTATCTATCTATCTATCTA